GGCTGGGCATCTGGTCCAGGCATGTCCCGTCTTCTCATAGTCACAGTGTCCTTAGGAGCACTGCAGTTCAGACGGTGTGGGATGGTTATAATGAAGTAAGAAGGGGAAGCTGTTGGGGTGCAGCTGAGAGACCTGAACCAGTGGTACCCAAATGCAAACCACACGGACCAGCACAGTCTCTGGCTTCCTTGACTGGTTTGTATTGGGTTGGGGAGACCTGGTCTCTCTTTAGACAGAGTGGGGGATGGACACTATTACAGATGAGGAAATGTCAGGGGACTCTCTTTTTTTAATTTTATTTATTTGTGTGTGTGTGTGTGTGTGTGTGTGTGTGTGTGTGTGTGTGTGTGTGTGTGTATAGACAGGGTCTCTCACAGGCCTAGACTTTGCCCAGGAGTCTAGGCTGGCTGATGAGGGATTCTCCTGTCTCCATGGCACCAACATTACAAGTATGTGCTATCACACCCAGCTTTTTACACATACATTGGGGACTGAACTCAGGAGCTTTGGTCACAGCCTGTTTCTTTTTACTTTTTGAGACAGGATCTCACTAAATTGCTTAGGTTGTCTTTAAACTTGCATCCTTTTGCCTCAGCTTCTGAGCTGAATGCTGGGATAATAGGCCTAGTTTCATTTTTTTTTCCTCTCATATTTCTTCCTTTGACATTCTCACCCCATTCCCCTTTTTTGGTTTCATTGAAGATTCCTGTATGACTCCTTTGCTTCCTGACCTAAGACAAGGTGTCCTGGCCTGTAGGAGGCCACCCCATGCCCACTCAAGCTACCTGTGGGCGCTTCTTGACAAGAAAGCCTTTGTCCTCACCTCATCAGCCCCCAACAGAGTGTGACCAACCCACCAGGCCAAGGACACATGACCACAGATGATAATCCCTCGAGTACTCTGTGTGGGCCTGCCTGGCAGGGCCGCCATGGTCGACTGTTGTGGCTGAGAGGCGAGGGACACCCCAGGGGCAGGAAATGGCCTTGGTATAAGAAGTACAGCCCAGAAACAGGATGCAGATGAGGGAGGAAGGTGAAGCCAAGAAACTGTTTTGTGTCATCTCTGCATTTCCCTTTCTTCTAGTCAAGGCTTCCGAGGTCCCAGCACTAGCAGAGGCTAGCTCTGAAGTCTCCTTAGCAGGCTGGAGATGCCTGTGGGGTTGCAGGACAGCCAGACAAGTCACTGGGTAATAGTTCAGCAGCAGCAGGGACTGGGGCTTGGGAAGATGGTTGTGAAAACAGGTATTCCTGGAGGCTAGGGAGATGGCCCAATCAATAAAGTCAGTTCAAATCCCCATAAAAAAACAAGAAACAAAAAACAAATTGAGTTTAGAGCCAGCCTAGGCAATTTAGCAAGACCTTGTCTCCAAATAAAAAAGTAAAAAGAAGGCTGGGAATACAGTTCAGCAGTAGACCAGAATCCCCCAGTGAGGGGTTGGGTTATGACTCAGTGGCAAAGCACCAACCTAGAATCCCCCAGTGAGGGGCTGGAGTGTGGCTCAATGATAGAGCACCTGCCTAGAATCCCCCAGTAAGGGGCCGGTGTGTGGCTCAGTGGTAGAGCACCTGCCTAGAATCCCCCAGTGAGGCACTGGAGGTGTGGCTCAGATTGGTCTAGTATGTATGGAGCCAAGGACTTGGAGTCAGGTTAATATGATAAAGATGCAGATGAAACACACAGTGAGAATCATGTTATTGCAACACATAGCTGAAGGATTCTGTTGTTCAGGCTTCTACATTTGTCTTAGATGTCTGATGTTTTTGTATTACTGAGACCAGATCATCATTGTTTTCTGCCTCCTCCCCTTCCTCCCCTCTTCTTTCTCCCTGGCCCCCTCTCTCAGTTCTTCTCTTCTGGAGGTAGGGTCTTACTGTGTACCCAGGTTGGCAGCAGCTCTCTGCAAGCCTGAGTGCTGGAACTGCAGGCCTATGCCACCACACTCAGCCTAGTATCCTTTTCACTGCAGATTGTGAATCAGTACCCTCCCATTGGCCTGTGGCCAATGACTTATGCTGAGCTTTCTACATCCTGGAACCTCGTGGCCTCCTAGGAAACTGATGAGTGAAGTAGGAATCATCTCATCACCACTTTTTATTTTTGCAAATTTTCCATTTTGCAGAGAAGTAAGAATAAGACAGTGAGGGCTGTGAGTGTGGTTCAGCGGGGATTGTGCCTGTGTAGAGTGCGCAAGTCCTAGGATCCATTTCCAGCAGGACATAGAATATGTGGGGGCATGCACCCAGAATCTTGACGCTCAGGAGTTGAAGGCAGGAGGATTAGGACATTGGCATCAGCTACTTAGTAAGTTCAAGGCCAGACTAGGCAACATGAGATTCTGTCTCAAAAAGAAAAAACAAAAACATAAACGAAAAAAAGGACAAAGGAAAGTAATGTGAAATAGTATCTTTCACCACAATTTACCAATTGTCTCCATACTTGTCTATCATCTATGTGTTTGTCTATCTTCTGTTTATCATCTATATCTGTCTATCAATCTTCTCTCTCTATATATATATAATCTATTTGTTTATTATGAATGTATTAATAAATCAGCTATTATATATCTATTAATTATCTCCTTTTGTTTTACCTACCTATCTTTTTTTCAAGGCAGGGTTTCTCTGTGTAGCCCTGACTGTCCTGGAATTTGCTCTGTAAACCAGGCTGGCCTCACAGACATTCACCTGCTTCTGCCTCCCAAAATGCCAGGATTAAAGGCATGGGCCACCACTTCCTGGCTTATCTACCTATCTTTTATCTATCTACTAATCATAATATATTTTCTTTTTCTTTTTTTTTTTTTTTTTTTTTTTTTTTTTTTTTGGTTTTTCGAGACAGGGTTTCTCTGTATTGTTTTGGAGACTGTCCTGGAACTAGCTCTGTAGACCAGGCTGGCCTCGAACTCACAGAGATCCGTCTGCCTCTGCCTCCCGAGTGCTGGGATTAAAGGCGTGCGCCACCAACGCCCGGCTTCATAATATATTTTCTATCCATCAATCATCTATCATCTGTTATCCATTAATTGTAAAATCATTTATCATTTTTCTATTTTGTGTCTTATATTTGTTAGCATCTGTGTGTCATTTGTCTCCTGTGTCTATAAGGTCTGTATCTATTTATCATCTATCAGTGTCTATAATCTATATAGCTATGTATCAATCTTCCTGTGAGGTTCTCCAGGGTGTGTGGTGATCACACCGTTGGCACACTCCAGGGACTTAAGGGCTGACACCTATCACTGGTTCAGCCTAGCACCTCTGGTGGTTCTGTGTTGCTGCTAGCTTGGAGGGGTGGTTGGAGTCCAGGACTAACAGCAGTTGAGGAGATTGACCTCCTTGTTATCAGCTTGATGCCTTAAGGGCCATCCTTGAGATCTAAGTGGTCCTGCCCAGCACCACGTCCCCTCAGAGCCACTCCAAGGCCTCTCCTTGCCCCCCTGACATACCTGTCACCACGCCAAGTGACCAAAGTTAAGTGTGTGGGGCTATACCTTTCATTTGCTTCTTCATGTTGTGTTTCTGTGCCTGTGTCCCATCTGGGGCCTGTGAACCTGGAGCTTAGTCACTATCTTCCCTGTCCTCTCCCTGCAATAGCCCTTCTCTTCCTGGAGTCTGTCCTCCAACACGCATGACAGACCCTCAAGCAAAGCCATCACTCCTGCCCCAGGGTCCGGTTGTCTGTGTTCTGAGCACAGCTGAGACTCATGAAATCTGAGGGCTGACATCAAAGGATAGGGAGGCTAACTAACTCTGACGGGGCTGCAGTTTCCACCTTGGACACTGGTGTGTGACTCAGGTGGTGGTAGGGTTGGGCTTGAGGACCGTGGAAGCTGCTGGTGATGCGGAGGTAGTTGTGCCCTGAAGAAGCCTTCATTGGTCTGCCTGAGGGAACAAGTCCCCAATATAATGCAGCACCTGCTCTGAACACACATTCAGGGTCACAATGGGACCTATTGCCTCCATGACACTTCCCAGTTCACTGTGTAGAAATCTTTAGAGACGATGGCTGGTACCCATTGCAGCGTTACACTCTGTGTTCCCCTCAATGGCTTCATCCTCTTCAGAGAAAAACCTCAGCCGAGCCTTTGCGTGTCATCTCAGTGCTCAGAAGGTAGGTCGAAGCGGGAGATTGTGAGTTTGAGGCCATGCCTTGACTCAACATGATAAGCCTGTGTGTGTGTGTGTGTGTGAGAGAGAGAGAGAGAGAGAGAGAGAGAGAGAGAGAGAGAGAGAGAGAGAGAGAGAGAGAGAGAGAATGGGGGAAACCCAAACAAATTCAACTTCCTTCTTTGGCCTCAAAGGCCCACGGCCATCCCAGCAACTGCCTGGTCCCATCACCCTCTCCTGAGTGTAGAATTTAGGACCTGCCAAGCCGGTTCCTGCCTCAGGGCATTAACACTTGCTGCTGTTATCTCGCCTTGGAATTCTTGGTCTGGATCTTTTCATAAATGCACCCTTCCCAGCCACCTGAAGTGACAGCCACTTGCTGCTTGGTTTATTGCTTCCTGCAGAGCTGCCCGTTTGAAGAAACAGACAAATCTGAGTCTCTGAGAGGCCAGTTTACCCAGAGTAACACAGCAGCGGGGCTGGGAGGGCAGTGTGGGTCACAGCTGAGCCCCTGCTCAGGTCAAGTTCAGGAGCCAGAATCCTTACTTGTTGGCTCACAGAGGAAATACATGAACACAACTTCCCTTCCTTGATTTGGGGATTTTTTTTTGAGAAAGCAAAAAAAATTATTTATTTGTTTGTTTATTTATTTTGAGACAGGGTCTGTGTAGGCCAGGTTGACCTGGATCTTTTGATCTCACTGCCTCAGCCTCCTGAGTACTGGGGTGATGGCCTGGTGCCTTTACCAGAGTGATTTCCACAGGTCATTTTCAATGTATTTGAACTACATTTAACAGGGGATATGGGGTATGTGTGTGAAATGAATAGTAACCATATTATAAATTTAATGTCATAGTCGCAAAATGTTACTACTGTAATCCATAGCACAAAAGTTACTAACAAAAAGTTTTATTCTGGGGTCTGGAGAGATGCCCCAGCAGTTACAAGCACTGGCTGCTCTTCCAGAGGACCTGGGTTTGATTCTCAGCAACCACATGGCAGGCAGCTCACAACCATCTGTAGCTCCACTTTCAGGGGATCCGATGCCCTCTTCTGGGCTCTACAGGCACCAGGCATGCATGTGGTACACAGACACATATGAAAGACACTCACACACCTAAAATGTTAAAAAAAAAAAATAAAGTTTTTCTCTACCCTGCATGGGATCTAGAATCTTGAGTCTTCTTCTTCTTTTTTTTTTTTTTTTTGGTTTTTCGAGACAGGGTTTCTCTGTATTGTTTTGGAGGCTGTCCTGGAACTCTCTCTGTAGACCAAGCTGGCTTCGAACTCACAGAAATCCGCCTGCCTCTGGCTCCCGAGTACTGAGATTAAAGTCGTGCGCCACCAACGCCTGGCTTTGAGTCTTCTTAAACCCCCACACTTTGCAGGCAACAGTTGTGATCAGACACCCCTAAATCCCAGCGGCCACATGTGGCTTCAACTTCTGAGACCAGGACAGAATTTACATTTTGGGCTTCCTTTTTTTTTTTTTTTTTTTTGCTGTTTTGGTTTTTTTGAAATGGGAATCTTACTATGTAGCCCAGGCTATCTTTCAAGTTGAGGTAATCCTTGTGCCTCAGCCTCATGAGTACTAGGATTATAGATATGTACCACCATGCCTGGCTGGTCTTTCTCCTCTCCTCTCCTCTCCTCTCCTCTCCTTCCTTCCTTCCTTCCTTCCTTCCTTCCTTCCTTCCTTCCTTCCTTCCTTCCTTCCTTCCTTCCTTCCTAAGTCAGGGTCTAATGCATCCCCAACTGGCCTTGAGCTCACTGTGTCTCAAGGATGACCTTGAACTCCCAATCTCTTGCCACCAGAATGCTGGAATTACAAGCATGCTTTACTGGAGTTGTTTTTGTTTGGTGCTGGGAACAGAATTCAGGGTCTTGTGTATTAAGGCAAGCACACTATCAACTGTGTTGCATTCCCTAACGCCTAGGCTTTTCCTTTTAAAAAGCCACCATACATTCCTTTATGTAGGCCTTCATTCACAAAATATTCACAAGTCTATTGTGGGTTTATAGGCTATTTTAAACATAATTTCTGTTTGTGTATTTAAAAGTGAAAATAAAAGCACATACTAGGGAGTGGAAAGCATCCTGGAGGTGCCCTCCCACCCCAGCACAGAGTTATCTTGCTTTCTGGGGAGCCTGAACTGGAAAGGCCCGATCCTTAGCCTGGGGGAAGAAGGGGGGCAAGATAATGACATAATTAAGGCTTGTGGCTGGGCACTTTTGATCTTCAAGGACCAGAGCCCACATGGCTGAGGCTCTATTTGGGTTAATTGCCCAGAACCAAGAAAGCCTTGCCCAGAGATAAAGGGAAACTGGTGTTTCAACATTACAAATTGTTCTGGGATGGCTCTGGCAGAGCCTGGATGCCTGGGGCCCAGCTGGCCCCACCCACATAGAGAGGGTCCTATGGGTTCCTGGGGGCTGCTGGGTGCGGAGACCACCTACAGGGTGGTACACTGGCTTCCAGGGTTTTTTTTTTTTTTTTTTGCTTCTTTTTTTGTTTCCCCAGATAAAGGAACCAAATTCAAGGTGAGCCAGGGACAGATCACATCAAGAATAAAGTCAACAGCACAGAGAACCGAGGGCTTCGATGTTTCTCTTCTAGGGGTTGGGATGGGATGTCTAGACCTGGAGCTACCCATCCATACAGCCTTCACATTCTTGCCTAGTACAAATGCAACCTGATCCATTCTAGTTTCCGGTATTCTTGCATCTCCCAAGGGATGGGACACTTGGTGCTTGGGACTTAGTTTCACCTGTTCTCTGTGGACTGGAAGGGGTGTCTAAGTCCCTCTGCCTCGGTATGAAATTATTTCACAGGGGAAAAGACCTGCATCAGTATCAGGGCTCAGTATCGGTCCTTGCAGCTAATAAGTAACAACGACTGCAATAACTGAGCACGGATAATTGAGTTCCAAGCAATTGAAGGGCACTGGCTAAGTGCTTCACGTTTAAGATGTTGGGCTATGCAGTGATTTCTTAGTCCAGTCGGATGGTCTCCCTCCTCTCAAAGCCGTGTCTATTCCCCCCCCCCCCTGTGTGCTCGGAGTCTTGGTTGGAGAGGGCATCATCAAGGGTTAGATGGTCACCTCAGCTGCTCAGGCCTCTTTTGGGCTATTTCAAACACTTGACACTTTAATTATGGGCGGGCGGACATATCGCGCAGCGCCAGGGGCGCTGGAGACAGGCCGGAAGCATCCGCTCCGGGGGCGACCGGACATCCCCGGTCACCGCCAGGTGCACCTTCTGGTGCCCCTCTCCACCTCCTCCCCTATGTCTCCGAGCTCCCGGCTGCTAATGCCTTCTTCCTCTAGGGACCCTCCAGCTGACCATCAGGTGTCCACCGCCTCTAAGATGTTTGTCCTGGTGGGGATAGGGTTATTTGGGAGTGGGTACGGGTCTTTCTCTGGCACCAGGCTTGGGGGTTCTTCTGAGCGGCTGGGGCAGGGATGCCCCGTGGAGCCTGGAGCGACGCACCTACAGGCTAGGGCAGCAGCCGCCCACGTCTCCTCCGACTCTAAAGTATATTTAGCCTCATTATCAAATGTTTGCAGTGAACCGAGCGAACCGCCTAATAGCGGCTGGAAGTGAAACTCGAATCCCAGCCAGAGGGAAGCACGTGATCTCTCCCACCAGAAGGGATCACCGAGGCGCGGGCGGGACAGGTGCGGTGGCCTCAAGCGCATGCAACGCCACCAGCTCGGCTTGGTTTCTTGGTGTTCTCTGGAAGCCTGACACCTGAACCTCACCCCCCTCATACAGCCCTTTCTCCAGAGACCAAAATGAGGACTGGAGCAGCGGGTCCCAAGGGAAACCGAGGCAAGGGGGTGGTCTGAGTTGGCTAGTTCTCCTTTAGGCCCTTGACTACATGATTTAGCCAGTCCCAGTTTTCAGAGATCAGGCGTCCATCTCTTAGGAGTCTTCCGAGGACCCATGGAGGTGAGGGGTTAGGGATCGCTGTCTCACATGAGAGCACCCTGTAAGCTTAAGGGCTCGTGCCCCAGTCCCCTCAGGCGGCTGGCGCCGGGCTACACAAGCTCTTACCACCCTCGCGCTGCCGCTGTTGCTGCGGTCGCTATGACGACGGGTCGCGGTTTTATTTTTAATAGCGGTCGGCGATTAGAGCAGTGCCTGCGCCCAGCTCCCTGCAGCTCCCGCGTCCCCGGCGAAGCATCCAGGCCTAGCCTCACTCTGGCCCCAGATATCATCCCCTCGCGCCTTCAGAATTCCTCCCTCCCTGCTCTAATTTCCAGCTGGGCGCCCCTGCTGCGCCAAGAGAGTAAGAGGAGAGAACAACACCGCTAGGCGGGGTCCCTAGGAACCCGCGGGCCTCCTTGCTGCGGAGGTGGTGGCCGGACGGGCGCGGCATCCCCTCCGCAATGCAACCCGATCTTCTTCCTGGATTCCCATATCCACCGTCACACCGGGTCGTCGAACTGCAAAGAGGTATCCTCTGGTCCTCTCTGCCTGCGAGGAGCCCGAGGGCTTTGCAGGACAGGACGCGCAGTACTCTTGGCATAAGAAGGTGAGGAACTCGACCCAGGTCCAGCTGGGTCCTGAAAGTCTCCGCAAGAAGCCATCGAGTGAATCTCCATCTTCAGAACAGCACAAAGTTCCACCAGTACGGATAAGGCCTTGGCTTTCGAGGACCTCGAGGTGGGGGCGCTTCCCAGCGTTTTCCAGATTCCCTGGTTGGGCCAAGAGAGGGTGTCATCTTATCTCCTGAGCACCCCAGGTGTTAGGGCAGAGACGTGGCGATGGGGGACTGAAGGCCTATGGAAGCCTGTGTAATAACAGTAGCTGCGGGCTGCAAGGATTCTCAGGGGAGTCCCAGGTATTTGGGGCTAGGTGAGCCGCCCTAGTAGGGCTCTTCCAACTTGGCCTTTGAAATGCAGGAACCAGGGGAGCTGGGGATAAAAGGCTCCTGCCTGACTGCGCCTTTGTCTGGGGACAAAGGAGACGGGGAGAGGGGTGTGCGACCGGGGCAGGGTGCACGGGTTAATTCACATGATAAGGACTGGATGGGCAGTATTCTCTACTGCACCCCGACCCATGGAACGCTTCACAGCTTTCAGAGCCCTAAGCTTGTCTAGCTTTGGGATTCGAAAGGTTCACAAATCCCCTAACCCTGGTGCATGGCGATCGCTGGTAGGATTGGCCCCGCCGTCGGGTCACTTCCCTCCTTAAATCCCTCTCTCGAAGTGGGAGAACCGTCTAACCCTGATCAGACTTCTGCCCGCGTGTCGCTTCCCCGCCACCCGGTCTGTGCTGTGACTTGGCCGGAGGTGGCGCTCTGCGCTCCCTTGGATCCCAAAGCAGAACCCAGGAGTTCCTCACCCGTGGCTTCTTTTCTGTCTTTCCTTCTACTCCCTCAGCTCCCCGGGTTCAGGGTGCGACTGGGCCTTCGGCCAGGGGCTAGGGATCTGGAGGGTGCAGGGTGTCAAGGTGGCGATGAGGCAGGCGGAAGCCTCCTCTCCGACTCGGGCTTCGTTTCCACCTCCACACAAGAGTGCAAGTTCCTCAATCAGGTGTCCCAGGCTTTGGCTCTGGGGCGCGGGCGCGTGGCAGCCGTCAGGTGAGTGCCCTAGACGCGCCCCTAAACCCGCCCCGCCTCTCCGCAGAGACTCACTCCCCCTCCTTTTATGGAGAGGGGAAGGCTGGAGCCCTGGTTCGGCACGGTGGGAAGCGGCCCGAGCGCCGGGCGGGGGCCGGGCCGGCTCTCATGCCCTTTTTTGGCGCAGCAGCTCTGGGCGCTGCCCTTTACTGCCGCTGGGGCCCGAAAGAGAGGCGAGCCGGAGACGGCCGTGCTTCTGCAGCGGCCTCCTCCCCTCCCCGCCCGGTGCCGCAGGATTGCAGCTGGCACTGAAGGGTGGGCAAGCTCGAGGGAGGGGCGCTCCGGGAGCCCCGGCGCCTGTGGGCTCCGAGCCGCGGGCGCCGAGCTTGGGTGGATTTAGCTGCCTGCGTGAGCGCGTGTGTGGTCACTGCAGTGGCGGTGGTGGCCGGGCCCGATCTGGTCCGCGAGACCCCTGCGCGCTTCTGAGGTGCGGGTCCCGGGCCGGAATCCGGGGGAGGCGGGGGGCGGGGGCGGGGGGAGGGGCGCGGTGGCGGCGCTATAACCCCCTCCCTGTCGCCGGCCGGCTCCACACGCGCGTCCTGCGGAGCCCGCTCAACTCCGGGAGCCCGGCCTGCCTGTGCCTTCTCCTTCTCCACCTCCTCCTCTGGTCTTCCCGCGGCTGCTGCGGCGGCGCCAGCTCGGCCCTCCGCCCGCCCTCCGGCCCGTGCGAGCGGCGCAGCGAGGCCCCGGGCGGGTTGGTTGCTGCCAGGCGGCGCGGCCGCGGGAGCTGCCCGGCCCCGGCGGGCGGAGGGCGGAGCGCGGCGCCGTAGCCGAGGGCGCGCCGCGGAGGGGCGCACGCAGGCCGCCGGGCCGCGCTGTGCTGGGCCGCCGCGCCGTGCCCGGCCCGGGGCGGCAGCGGCGAGAGGAAGGCCCGGGGACAGGCTCTCGGGGCTGCCCGTAGCCTTCGGGGAGAAACGAGGCGGCCGCTGGTACCGGGCTGAGCGTCCAGACAGGTGATCGGTGGTGCGGCGGGAGCTGCAATCACGCTCCGTGGTCCCCTCCCGGGGCTGACGGCAGCAAATATGCGGATTTACCGGCCGGGTCGCTCCTAAAGCCAGCGACGGGGAGCGAGCGCGGCGGCGGCCAGCACGGGGAACGCACCAAGGAAGAAGCCCAGCCCCCGCCCTCCGCCCCTTCCGTCCCCACCCCCCTACCCGGCGGCCCAGGAGGCTCCCGGCGCGACTCTGTTCCTCCTCCTCCTCGCTGGCTCTGCACTCGCTGCTCGCGCCGGGCGCGCTCCGCAGGCTCCCTGCTCTCCGCGCCACCCTCCTCCGGGCCGCGCTCCCTGAGGGATGGTACTGAATTTCGCCGCCACAGGAGCCCGGCTGGAGCGCCCGCCCCGCGGCCTCGCCTCCCTGCCGAGCTTCCAGCGCCTCGGGACGCGATGAGGACCTGGGCTTGCCTGCTGCTCCTCGGCTGCGGATACCTCGCCCATGCCCTGGCCGAGGTGGGTGCCACCCCCACGCCTCCGTCCCTTCTTGGCTCCCTCTGCGCACGCCCCCCTCGGCTACCTGTTTCAAGCTCTGCAAAGAGCATTTCGATTTTTTGCCAGGGTGGTGTAATTTAAAAAAAAAAATTCCCAACTGGGTTCTATTTTCTGCCATGCCCAAGTGTGTCTGGTGAGTTTCCAGCGCGTTGCGTCGCTCCGCCTTGGAGAGGGACGGGGGAGCCGCGAGGTGAACCAGTGGGCAGAAACTTCGGGGGGGCTGTGGGTGCTTTTCCAGAAGGGGCAGTCCAAACGCAGCGGACAATGCAGTAACGGGGTGCGGGCAGCGGGAAAGGGGGTGTGTGTGAACTGACCGTGCCCTGGGAGGGGACTAGGGCGGGCAGTAAGCAGGTAGAGGAGGGTGCGGCCGAAGCCCGGGACAGGGCAGGGTGGGCAGCGCCCAGCCGCAGTCCCCAGTTCCCGGTCCCCAAGCCCAGTCGGACGCGGGGCTGGAGCAGTCTCCGCCCGCCCAGGGCCTGCTTACAGGTGGCTGAGCGAGGCAGATGGGGCCGGGCCAGGCGCCCGCGCCCTCCCACCGCTACCCCCCCCCCCCAGATTCCGGGAGCTTTGCCGTGATGAATGACTTTCCACAGCCCCTGTCGTGGGAACTTCGTGGTTGAGTCCCCCAGCGACCCCGACTCCCTTTAAAAAACTGGGAGGGAGAGTGGGGGAGGCTGAACGGTGGGGGTGGTCTGGGCAGAGACCGGAGTGGATATTTAACCCCTTGAGTTCCCTGCAGCCTCTCTAAACCCCGCTGGATTTGGGCGTCCTAGTCGGCGCTAGGGCCATGCCTGGGCCAGAGCCGGGTGGGGCGACCGCGCGCGCGCGTGCGTGCGTGTGGGGGTGCGCGAAGACCCTCTCCCCTGCGGGCTCGGTCCAGGATTCCCGGGAGTGAAATTGAACCCTAAGGCTAGATTAAAGTGTTGGGGCTGCTGTGATTCCAGACGTGCATCCGTGACGCATTTCGACTTTCTCTTCATGTCGATTTAGCTATTAAATCAGAAACTCCTCCGGCCCCTGGCTGCCCCCAGACACCCTGGGGAGGGCCAGAGCGCGGGCGCTTTTTGTCTGAACATGTCAAGGCGGTGCTGTTTTTTTCTAAACCAAGGTCAGACAGACAGGAATGGGTGGAGGACTTGGGGGCTCCCATCTAGCCCCACCCGAACCTCTGGTTCTAGTGCTTGGCGGGGATCGGGCGGGGCTGCGTGGTCCCTGAGACCGGGCTGGAACCCCTGGGCGCGTCCTGACTGTGTGGTCTGCTTGCAGGAAGCCGAGATACCCCGTGAGCTGATCGAGCGACTGGCTCGAAGTCAGATCCATAGCATCCGGGACCTCCAGCGACTCTTGGAGATAGACTCCGTAGGTAAATCGCGCCCCTGCCCCTGGCTGCGGGAAGGGCGCGGGCGGCGGGGCGGGCAGCCTGCGAGAGGAACCGTACCCAGCGCTCGACCGGGCTGGGTGCTGCGCAGGAGCGCACCGAAAGGTCAGACTCCACTCGCCGGCCATAAACGCCCAGGCGTATGAGTCAGGCGTTTCTCCTGCAGTAGCCACTTTCTCTCCCAGCGGCAGCCGAGGGCTGCTTGCTCGCCCGGGGGTTGTTTTTGCATTTAAGGGAATCACAGCGGGTGTGTCACTGAAAGTTCAGCTTTAGAGTGTGCCGAAAGACCCTGCCAGGTGTGCGGGTCAACCTCCGCCTCTGACCCTGAAGCGCGGGACCTCGCCCGCAGGGCGCGCGGCTCTAGCAGGTCTCCCGCTTCGCGAGGGCCCCCAGAGCGCTTGAGGAGCTGGTTGGTCCCGGCCTTTTGAAAACTCTCATTGGTGCCTTGATTGCCCCGGGCTGGGTCCCAGTGGTGGCCACAGGAGGTCGATGTTTTTCTCAACATCATCCTGTTAAAAATGCGCGCCTGGGACACATGCGCTTGGGGCTATTTTGGGGGCTCCCCGCCTCAGGCTAGAGCCAAGCCACTGTAGAAAACAATTTGTAAATGTAGGATTGGATTAGACTCGGATCGACAAGGGCTAAAATAAAGGGTCTTGGATGGGGGTGGGAGAGGCACACCGTGTTGGAGGACAAGGTCTTCTCTGTCTTTTGTGACAACCTATGCAAAGTGAATGCTTGGTCTGGGTATTCTTTTTGAAGCACTGGGATAAAATTTACCATTAAAAAAAAAAAGGCCCCGATGACTTTGTCAGGAGGAACTAAAGGCCGCTAAAGTGAAGAATTCTAAGTGACGATTTCCCTCTCCTTGCAAACTTTTCAGAAAGGGGGGAGTGGTGAGAGAATTAAGTAAAATCACATGGTCTAACCATTTGGAAATTTGTACCTAATTATGGTGATGGAGAGGCCTGAACTGTTTTTGTTGCATGCCAAAATCATTTTTTAACAAGGTGGCCCCGTTTCAGTAGTTTCTTGACCCAGGAAATCCTTGGCCTGATCCTTATCAGGAGTGGCAGGCCTAGGGTTTCACTTAGAGCTCAAGAGTGGGACAGGGGGTTTTGATCTGATCCCTTGATTGGAGGACTTGGCTTGGATCTCTGGGGAAATGCTCCCAGAGTTTTTTGCTGGTCCCCAAAGGCTTTGGAGACGGCGGACTCCTCTCCGGCCCTGCTTAAACCAGGGCTGGGCCGCCTGCTGTGTGGACACTGGGGGAAATGGGCCATTCACTTTTCTGCTGGGACCATTCTTATGCTGCTCTTTGCAGCCACGCCTCCCCCACCCCCCACCATTAATGCTTTTAGCACCAGTTCTGTTAGGTTAAGCTGATGTGCCCAATGGGGGGCTGGAGGCTTCTGAATTGGGGCCTCCTCTTCAGGAGGGTCCTAAAAGAAAAAGCAGTCCCTGGAGGTTTCAAATTGCTTCTGTAAGAATGGTGTGTGTGTGTGTGTGTGTGTGGTATGTATGTATGTATGTATGTGTGTATGTACGTGTGTGTATGTGTCCCAGGGGATTTAGAATATCCATCCTCCTCACTCTACCTTTCAGACACTTGGGGTTCTCCATGGGAAACTTGATGAGAACCAAGTGTGTGTGTGGGCTTCTGCCGCCCTCCCAGCTTGCTAGGGGGAGGAGGGCCCTTTGTGACATCAACCCCAAATGGGGTCTCCCTGATGGGCCATCTATCCCCCTGCTCTGGTGTGGAAACTAACTGGAGTCTAGTCTGGCTTGTGGACATGAGTGGTTAGCTCTCCTCATTCCCATTCAGTTCCTTCTTGAAGTGAGGAGCTCTGTGACTCAGGCTGCTGCAGAAGGCTGGCTGCAAGCAGCTGTGGTGGTGGTCGGTCAGTTTTAGAGTTAGCTGAAAGGGATCATCACTGGGATGTTCCCAAGGGTGGCCTCTCCAGGTGGAGTCTCGATGTCCCTCTATCTAGGTTGCAGGCAGCAAGAGAAAGGCTTAGGGGTGTTCCAAGCCAACTTCTCATCCAAGTGGGTGGAGCTTTGTGATTGGCACATGGCTCGTCTAATGGGCTGGCAGCATCCCCATTTTCCAGATGGGGAAACCCTGAAGGCATCTCCTCCCAACCTTGCAGCTCCTTAGCTGTGTGGCCCAGCTCCAGAGGTGGCAGGATTCCAATACATTGCCAAGAATGTCCCTGAGCCCAGAGCATTCCATGGTGGAGTCAAGGAGCTCTAAGTGGCTTTTGGGTCCAGAGACTGGCATCCAGTCTTGCTGTGAACTACAGCTCAGGAGTTCAGGTTGACTCGTGTGTGTGTGTGTGTGTGTGTGTGTGTGTGTGTGTGTGTGTGTGTGTGTAACGGGAGCTTTGTTCTCTAGAGCCGCTGGCCAGGCGCCCATGGGTCATTGAGTAACTGATACATAAACATCCCATCCCGGGCTACTCATAACGCTGTAGTCAGAACAGGGCTAGTGGACTCTGTCTGTCCTTCCTCCAGCAGTCGTCAGATATTTGTCACTGAGACATCTACATAGGACAAAGGGAGTTGACTTGACCTGATAGAGGCTTAGCCACTAATTCATGATAGGTTCTGCGGTGTCACATAGGATAACATTCACAAGCCCCTAAAGAACTCACTTGCCACACATCAAAGATTCACAGTAGTGGATCAGCCATTAGCTTGTGACCACCTGTTGTTGTTAGTCCAGGCTGGTCTCGAACTCACAGAGATCCGCCTGCCTCTGCCTCCCGAGTGCTGGGATTAAAGGCGTGCGCCACCAACGCCCGGTGTTTTTTTTTTTTAAGACAGGGTCTCGTATAGCCCAGGCTGCCCTTGAACTCCCTTATGTTGCCGAGGATGCTCTCCTGTCTCCAATTCCATTTATTTAATGTAGTGCTGGGCATGGAACCAGAGCCTTGTGTGTTCTGGACCCTCTTCTAGCTGAGCTACATTCGCAGCCATTTTGTTTGTTTTTTTGTTTTCTGAGAAGGGTGGCCTTGAACTTCAGATCCTCCTGTTAATGCCACCACACCTGGTTCATGACCAACTATCTTGATCTGGGCTTGTCTTGAGTAGGAGCTGTGGCCAGTCTCTGTGGCCAAGTTTCTGTCTGCATTAAGTTTAGTCAGGAGAACTTGTGTCAGGGAATTTTACTGTGTACTGGGCCTGGAGGGTTCCAGCGTTCTTTTGGTGTTTGGATTTTTAAATTTTTATTTATTTTTATTTTTCTGAGGCTGGACGCTGTGTATCCCAGGCTGGCTTTGACTTTACTTTATATCTGGAGATGGCCTTGGACTCTTGCTCCTCCTGCCTCCATCTCCTGAGGGAGGGGGTTCATTCACCACATGCATGTCTGACTTGTCCTCTGTCCTGTTCAGTATCTCTAGATTCTAGTGCCCTGGCCTATGCAAAGTCGGTGACACCTACTGTGTGCATGTTGAGGCAAGCCCAAGGCATCCAAGGACCACAGTTGGCATCGTTGCCCACTCTCCCTGGCCCTGAGTGGATGGTCCATTCATCTCTTGTTAGCTTGGCCATGGCAGGATGGTCATCACTAGGTCATGACTCATCATGTCACTTTTTGTTGAAGAGATGCTTCTCTGTAACAGTTGGTTGACGGGAAATTTTTACTGCATGAGCAGTTCTGATCTTATTTTGGGTCTTTAAAAAAAAATCCGTGCCATTGGAACATTGAGTCATTTTAAATAGTTTTTGGGCTCGGATTCATCGTTGACATTCACACCTTAGGAGAGTCTTTGCTTTTCATCTTAAATGTGTGGGTAGCAGACATCTCAGGGTGGAGGAGGCTGGCATGTCTCCTGTTGGTTTGTGGATGGTGTGGTACCTGGTGGCATTTGTATCTCCTGCTAGGAGGGCCCTCCATTTGGGCGGAATGTCACTAAGTGTTGGGACCCAGGGGAGATATGAGTGTCCCCAGGGAAGAAGCAGGAGGGAGGGGGAACTTTGCATAGAGTCTGCATGGTACAGTCTGGGAAAGCCAGGTAGGTATAGATTATATTGGGGGCTGATCTGTCTACACAGCATGTGGTGGAGCTCCATGTCCTCCTGTCCCCAGGAACCAAAGAATTTGGGGGCAGTGTGTTCCAGGGGCTCGTTCTCCAGGCCGATCTTAACTCTGTCCTCCATTCTGTGGGTCAGGGTAGCCCTATGTTTGCTGGACACCTGGTGGCCCTCAATGTGTGAGCACTCCTTCAAGCACTGGCTTTCCCCCACTCCCTGTTGTAGACCTTATTCACTGGGCCCCCAGGACGCTAGCCCCAGGCCTGTGACTGCACGCCTCACTTCTTACTCTCCTGGCAGACGCACCCCTTCGCTGTTTCTCATGGCCTCTGGCCCTCAGAGCAGGCTTATTTCAGGAACAGTGGAGGTTGGCTTGCAGCCCAGTCTGGCGTTTGCTTCCGATGCCCCTCAGAGGTTAGGACACTTCATCAAAGCCTGCTTTACAAGAGGGAGGCCCTGTGCACACAACAGCAGGAGAGAGGCCGCCGCCCTTCCCATCTTTGCTTCAGCTGATAGGGATAGTGCTTCAGACCCGGGCCCAGCTGGGTGGCCTTGGGACCTGCCTGATCCGGTGCTACCCTCCAAGGGCTCCCTTCAGAGATCACATGGTAAGGGAGGATACCTAAATGCCTTCCTGGAAGGACCTCAGATTTTCACAGGAGAGCTGCGTTTTGACAAGATAGGGAGTTGGTTGGAGATGCACATTGGAAACCATATGGGATCAGAGGGACTGGGGTCGGGGACTGAGCCACTGTGCCTTGTCCCTTTGCTCTGCAGGCTGCTGTGGAAGCCTCAGCTGTTCAGGTCCCAACGGTATGGCACATAAAACACGTGGGCACTGGTTACCATATTCTTCTCTCCACTTGTAGGGGCTGAGGATGCCTTGGAGACAAGCCTGAGAGCCCACAGGTCCCATGCCATTAAGCATGTGCCGGAGAAGCGGCCTGTGCCTATTCGCAGGAAGAGAAGCATTGGTGAGCATGGGAGGGTGTCCAGCAGCTGGAGGCGGGCAGGTCACTGCTGGAGCTGTGAATGCTCCTGCTAATTCAGAGGCTTCGGCACAGCCCCCTATCCCTCCACCAAACAAAGGCTTTGCTGGCCTCCTGCCTTCCCCGTGGAGGAGGCTGCCCTCTTTCTCCTCTGTTGAGTGTCTCCTGCCTGCCCTTCTGCAGTCTTGTGCCTGGGCCAAGAGTTTCCAGGAGGGGAACATTATAAATTCCTTAAGTGCCCGGTCTTGTCAGGGCCTGTCTGCGAGGAGGCTTCGTTGGAAAACGTGGCCAAGCTTAATTTCCAGTTCCTGATGGAGCTCCAGCATGCTCCTGGGCTTCAGCTGCCGAGCTGGGTGCAGCCTGGCTGTGCTGGACTCCTCTTCCAGTGCTCCTTCCTCGTTCACTGTTGTCTCTAGGGTTCCACCTGGCCCTCGTTCTGGGAAAAACTAGATTCTCTCAAGACCTATGCATTCTCCTGGGGTGGGGTTGCAGGTGTGACCCACCCAGTCCCGGCTCAGCTAAGGGTGCTGCCTACATACTGCTTGGCTGTTGGCTGCTATGTGACCCTGGGCAAGTGGATCTCTCTGAGATTTATTTTACCAGTGTCTCATTGCTAGCAGAAGTGAGAATAGAATCCCTACTCCCAGCTGGGGGGGGGGGGGTGGCGACGACAGGGAATTGTCTGCAAGCTGCATAGGGGGATAAAGCCTCTGCGTGGGAGTCACTTAGAAGACTACAAGGTCTGTGATGAGATGCAAAGGGGCCAAGCCCAGTTGCCCAGTGTGCCCGGCCCAGTGTTTGGGGCCTCTGTCAGAGGGACTCATAATCCAGGAGGACAATACAGGCCCCTGAGGTCAGGGAGGAATCTGGTCCGCCTCTTTGTTCATTCATGCTTTCCTTTCTCACCCCAAAGGGAGTCTGTAGACACCTGTGCAGCTCCTGGGGTGTGGGTATGCATATCTGCATATCTCTTGTGTTTCGTAGGCATGGTTCATTCCTGTTGGTTAGCTGGCCTGAGTCTCTTCTATCCTGAAGAACCTGGCCCTCTACTCATTCCAGCTCTGAGTCTAGGGTTGAGGAACCCTTCGGTGTTGATAGGGCAGCAGGGAGAGTCAGTAGGTAGGCCCCAAAGGCTTCCTGGTACCTCAGCCGCCTCTCCCCACATTAGCTAGTCCCAGAGCTAGTCCCAGGCAGCCATTATATAGTGACTAATGGGGGTTAGAGTTCAATAGGTCAATGAAGATTGCTTGAGGTAGAGAAGGGTATGTGTCCCAGGGTCCTGAGGGGATTTCTTTTCTACTGTACACACCTGGCAAGCAGATGGCCCCAGACTGACTGTGTTCACCTATGTGATTAGAGCAGAGCAGGAAATAGCTGCCTCTTCCTTGGGAGACAAATAAGTGTAGTTTTGCTGGCTCTCATGACCATGTCCCCAGCTCCAGGCTATGTGGAGACTGGGGTTGAGCTGCTCCTCTGCTGTCTCACTTCTTCGTCTGCAAAAGCAAATAGAAGGCTATTAGGGAAAGAGTCAATGCCTTGTCATACTAGGTAAGTGCTCTACCACTGAGCCACACCCCAGCCCCTCACTGGGGCATTCTAGGCAGGTGCTCTACCACTGAGCCACACTCCAGCCCCTCACTGGGGGATTCTAGGCAGGTGTTCCACCACTGAGCCACACCCCCAGCCTCTTACGGTGGTGGTGGGAATGGTTCTAGGCAAATGTTATGCCACTGAAGTCATTTTCCTAGCCCTCTTCACTTTTGAGACAAGACCTCCCTAAGCTGCCCAGGTTGGCCTTGAACTATGTCTGTAGCTTTGATAAGAGTATCAGCCCTGTACATTCAGGAACCTATTGGCAACCAGCATGTTCTGTCATACTGGAGGCTACCACAGGGATGCATCCTGCCCAGGTTAGGTGGACATCTCTGGGTTGGGTGGGGAGAATGGAGGTCATCATTCGTGTGCTACTGGTAGATTTCTAGGTCTCTCATTCGTATGTACTCTTGCTTTTGCAGAGGAAGCCATCCCTGCAGTTTGCAAGACCAGAACGGTCATTTACGAGATACCTCGGAGCCAGGTGGACCCCACATCGGCCAACTTTCTGATTTGGCCCCCGTGTGTGGAGGTTAAACGCTGCACCGGCTGCTGCAATACCAGCAGTGTCAAGTGCCAGCCCTCAAGGGTTCACCACCGTAGTGTCAAGGTAAGCCCTGCTCTTTCTGGCCATCAGCCTTGCAGGATGCTCTTAGGCTGGTAGGATAGTTTGAGGGGGGCGGGGCGTATGACTTAAGGTTGTTAGCATACAACTTTGTACAAGCCAGGGGGCTGACTTCAGTGACCTTCAGGAGTGACTGGGACATTCAGTGGTTACAGTGTGCTTCTGTCATTGAGGAATTGTGAACGAATGTCTCTTTATCCTAGATAGGGTAGCATCTGGGTTGAGCATTGATGGTCAACCAAAGAAGGTAGTCCATCCAAGTCCAGCTTGCTGAGCCAAGGAAGCTATTTTGACTCTTTACTGAAGTGTGGTGACTGTAGCACAGAAAACTCCGCCCTGGCATTGGTGATGACTGGAGATGTCCACATCCCTAGAGCTTTCTCCCGTAGAGTCTCTTCTCCCCAGAAGTCCTTACTGTTCATATGTGTGTAGAGGGCTTCTTGAGACTCTTGACTTTTTGAGCTTATTTCATTAGCTTCCTGGATCTTACTATCTCCCTCTAGGAAGGAATGTTTTAATTCAGAGGAAATAGCCACAGTCACCATGGCAGGTATTTGGGGGCCCATGGTTTGCATGCGTGGTCATTATCTTTATAGATGACGGTGGAACTTGGGTCTGTTCCCCTGTCAGCTTGCATGTCTCTCTGCCTTCCTGGGGCTCGGTTGTTAGCGCCCTTACAGGATGAGGGGGGATTTCTAGCCACCAGGGGTTTGGTCCCTCTTCGGGCATAAATCTGAGAGCATGGTTGAAGGCTGGTTGTCTATGTTGCCAAGGCTGGAGCCTTTGTGTTCCATCAGTCACTCTAGGACAGTGGTTCTCAACCTTCTACAACCTTTTAATACAGTTCCTCATGTTGTGGCGACCCCCCCCACTAAAAATTATTTTGTTGCTATTTCATTGCTACTGTTAGGAATTATAATGTAACTATCTGATATGGGACCTAGAAGGGGTGGTGACCACAGGTTGAGAATCATTGTTCTAGACTTCTGCAGTCTGAAAACTGACTCTGCCTGGTTGAGGCCCTTTTGCTAAATGTGTGACCATTTGGGTGGCTGAGCTGGCACAAGGGACTCTAGACAGCTGAAGGGCTAGAATGCCTCTGAGGATAACACCTACTTCTGACACAGCCAGGCTTCTGTACTTTTCTTGGATGAAGGGTCCCCAGAATTATGCATGAGGATTTCAGATCCCATTCTTCCATGCTGGTAAATCCATCTCAACCCCCAACCCTGCCGTGACCCTTAGCCCCAGTGGTAGGGAGGTAACAGGAGAACTTCTTTCTTCGTAGGGACCTGTATTCAGTAGCTCATTTGTGATCCACAACCTGGGCACCTGTTGTTGAGATTGACTTTGCTGGCTGCTGTTTAGTCTCCCGAGAGTTCCAGGGCTTGACTGAGCAAACCCCACATACTATTGCAGGCGTCTTCAGGACTGGACAGCCCATCAAAAGCCCTGAACTTTTCCCTGGGTTCCATGTACTTGTCTGGGGTGCTCTCTGGGTTTGCTAGCCACCCTCAGAGGTTGGATAGCATGCTGGCTACCAGCAGTGTTATACTATGATGGCTGGTTCAAGCACCCTGGTAGCCCATGTGACCTGGACCAGCCTCAGCCTTTCCTTGGGCCTCAGGGTTCCCACTGATGGTGTATTGAGGAGTCTGGAAACTGCTATCTTTTTCTTTTGAGTACAGGTGATAGGTTTGGTCCAGGGTAGGTCTGACTGTTTATCAATCCGTCTGACCATTCCTTGCCTGCCTGCCTCCCTCCCAAGATGGACTTGTGTAGTCTAGGCTGACTTAGAACTATGTAGCCCAGGCTGGTGTTAAACCTCCTCAGACTCCCGACTGGTGGGATTACAAGAGTGAACTATGACAATGTGAGTTTAGGAACAGTTTTTCCATGCTGGAGACATGCTTGAAGGGTGAGCGGTGTGGAGAGGTTTGTGGGGGTTTTGACTTGGAGGTTTTCAGAGTCTCCGGCCCCTGAGACAGGGACTGTCCATTTTCACTGACACTGCTGCCCATTGGGATTGGTGACTCCTTCTCTGTGCTGTCTGGGACTGTGCCTTTACCCCCTAGGGCTCATTTTGCCCAGTAAGAGCCTGGTCGGTTAAAAGGGACCAGTCTAGTCCTGGTTGGGCTAGTCAATCCCATACTCCCTCCTAAGCACCTACCCACATGCACCATCACTGACACCCATCCAAGGTTGGGAGGGGACATCCAGCCCCAGGTACTGCAGGCAAAAGGGACAGAAGGTCAGCGGAACAGGAGCTGAGTTCTGCAGCATTTGGAGTGGAGGCTTGTGCTGACCTGGATGGAGAGAGATGGGCCCAAAAGTCCCAGACTTAGGGTCAGCAGGGGTGGAGCTGATGATGAGACTCACAGTAGCCATATCTACCCTGTATGATATGTGCCATCAATCCTGGTTCCAGTTTGTGTGTTTCTACTTCCTTGTGGTGCTACGGATTAAATCCAGGACTTCTCATTATAGGCAAACATTTACCACGAGCTATACCCCAGCTTCTCACTGGGGAATTCTAGGCAGGTGCTCAACCACTAAGCCAAGGCCCCAACTCTCTGTAATTTTTGTTGTAAGATGGGGTCTAAATTAAGTTACCCAGGCTGACTTTGAATTTACTCTGTAGCCTAGGCAGGCCTTGAACTACTGCCCTAGCCTTCCAGTCTGAGCAGCCTGGTACCTTACCTATTTGGCCTCCTGGGCCCTGCCTGTTATGCTCAGCCTGACTCCAAATGCTAGCTGTGTTCTCCAGACCTTGCTGTGGAGGCTGAAGAATGCTTTGTGGGCCTGCACATTGAGCATAGGCCAGGCTCGTGGAGCTACCTGAGGTGTTTGGCCTGGACAGAGGTGAGGCCTCTCCTGTCTACATTATATGGGGCTGCCAAGGGACCAGGGAGTGGGGTTGCCAAGAGGTTAGGGGTTGTAACTGGCTGCTGAGCTGTGTCGGGAGGTTCATTCTCGTGCTCAGGGCTCTGCTGGGTCAGACTCTGGGCTTCTAGAAGGAAGGTGCCCCCAACTTGGGTAGGGTCTGGAGTTGTGTTCTAGGGGGAGTCCCAGCTGGGCTCTGTCTGGTGAGGAGCCTGGGGGTCTGAGGAGGCTGGGGCAGCATGGCAGAAGACACCCTGGGTGTACTTGATGCCCATCAAACTGTGAGTCTCTGCCTTTGAACTGCTGTGTGTGGTGCCCTCAGGCTGGTGGGACAGGGGTCTGTCCCCTTGCTTCCCTCCTCAGTGGATGTCCATGGACACTTGGGGAGCCAGAACGTAACACCCTCTTGGTCAAGTTAGAGGATTTATTGGCCTGGCAAGGCCCCTGTGTCTGTGTGGCCTCAGGGCCTCGCTCCTTTTAAGTCAAGGCTATTAGAAAGCAGAAACGAGTGTGGAGGGACCTGGGCAAGTTGTCCGCTTGGCTGTACTCGGTTTCTCCTCTATTAAAACAGGCTGTCATAGAGTCCGTGCAGCTGACCTGCAGGAGGGACTGTGCTCCAAGTTCAGCTCAAAATCAACAGTGGCTTTTCTCATAGATGTCACTGTCCTGGGGCTTGGGAGCAGTCAGGTTAAGCAAGCCCTCCTGGGGGAACAATGCTCAGACAATATCCTGGCCAGGTGACACTGCGTTGAACTTGAGGGAGCTGTGGATAGCTTGTGGGGCGCCTGGGACTTTACCATCTCCCTTTATACTTCCAAGGAGGCAGTTTTGAAAATTTAGTATTCTTAACGTGTTCTTGGGGAGGGGGGTAGCCATTTCCTGGCCAGACAGAGGTGGCAGAGCGGCTGGAATCTTTGCATTCCCAGCGCAGGTGCTCCTATAAACCACTGTTTGTTTTCGTCTGGTAAACACGGGCCTGTCTGGAAGAAAGGGGGCTCCCCAGCAGGAGCGGCTCATCAATTGCCCCTCATGCAGGGGACCCCTAGGCTTAGAGGGGAAAGTTGTACCTTCCCTGCAGCCAGGGTCTGGGTCTGGCCCATGGGGAAAAGCTAAGGGCCTAGTCAGGCTGGAGGATTATAGCTAAGACCAGGCCAAATGCCCTTCTGACGCCTGGGTTGGGACCCACCTGGTCCCCATCGCAGAGGTGGTGGTGGGAAGGGCAGAGCACCCACCTGCTGGTGTCTGTGGCCAGGGTCTCTCTCAGGCCAGGGTTTAGCTGGGCAGTCTTGAAGTTTGCTGGACATCTTTGGAGGCTAGGGACTGTGGCAGGGGTATATTACAGTGCCACCGCCCACAGCTCCTCTGGGAACTAGCTGATGTTTTTCCTTTGGGAGAACTCGCTCCTCCCTGACCCACCCCAAGGCCCTTCAGGGGAGGGACAAGGGTTGCCCTTCAGTTCTCTGGGGTAGAGTGTGAGACCACATTTCTGAGCTTAGGACCTGGGGGTTGCAGTGCGTCTGGGGACATGCTGACTTCCTGAACAGAACTTGGGGGCTCGTTTAGTCAGAAGCTTTGTCTGAATATTGATTTCTGTTGAAGCTAGCTCCTGCAAGGTGGCCCTGTCCCATGTCTAGGTGATTCTTTAATGTCATGTCTTTTATTTGTTTGTTGTTGGTTTTTGTTTCTTTGGATACATTGTCTTGCTCTGTAGCAGACTTGCCTGGAACTCAGTATGTAGCTCAGGCTGGACTTGAACTTGCAGCAATCCTCCTGCCTCAGCCTACTGAGTGCTGGGTTTCCAGGCCTGCCCCCCTGACTTTTGAGTGCCTCTACAGAGGGCTCTTTGGAGACCTGCCTGGGCGGGTGTGACAACTGCGCCCATTTCACTGGTCAGATTGTCGGTGTCTGGACAGCATGGCTCAACTACACCTCAGATGCCCCTGCCCTCACTCTTCCTAGTTGCTGTCCCTCCCACCTCTTGACGTAGCGAAACCTCCTGGGCTGGCCCTTGACCCCTGACCCCTGGCCCCACGCCCTACATGCTGAGCTCATACTTGGCAGACTGTGTTCACACCTGAGGCACCCACACTACTTCACATGCCCGCCAGGCACCTGGCACCCTTTGCACCCATGTTAACCATTAATGTAGCCAAGGTGGTAGCCACAGCAGAGTCTGGATGAGTCTGGTCCCCAGAGCTCTGAGCAGTTCCTTGGCGGGAATGCAGGGCTGACCCCTGCTTGGGTCCTCTTGGCTCCTGGGCTTCAATACCCTTAGGAGAGCAGTGGAAAATGCTTTCTGGGTGGGCCAGGCATTGTCCCCACCATTGAACGCCCAAGAAGCTGTAGGCCACCCAGGGTAGGTTGAGCACTATTACAGCCTCAGTTTCCCCAGTGTATGGTGAGATGTGAGGTAGAGCTCCCTGAGGGCTGTTCTGGGAGGTGGACACAGATTTGTCACTGATTGTATGCAGGGTTGGGAGGGTGGCACATGTCCCAGGGGGCATCAAGGTTGGGACAAGCTGCCAATCATGATCCCCGGGTCATCTCAGGAGATGGCTTACTGTGCCTGAGTTTTCTTTTCTATCCATGGAGGTGACAATCCTGCCTCCTCACTGGCTGGCCAGGCGGGTTAAATGAGTGTTTGGACTCTGAGGGAGGTGGCCTGGAGCATTCCCTAACGCAACCTCATGCTGGAATAGAGCAGGGTATGTGGCCCAAGGTTGCCTCCTGGTGCAGCTCCTGATGGTGTGTGTGTGTGGGGGGGTTAAGCAACTGTTCTGTGAGCATGGTGAGGGAGTGTGGAGTTGCATTCCTGTGTTGGGAGCTGTGTACACCGCTCACGTCTGTATCTGTGTGTGGGTGGTGCACTCATGACAGTGCTGCCCTGGGAATGACAGGCTGTAGTGGTCAGCGTCTGGCCACGACCATGGAAGGATTTGCCTGGGATTCTAGAGTCTAATATGAGCTTTTGGTACCTGCTGTTTTGGTGTGTCTCCAGGGACCCTGGGTTGAGTGGGAAATGACTCTTTGAGGGAGGTTCTTCCCTCTGCAAGTTTTGTAGCCACACGGTGGCTGTCCCTGTCTGAGGCTCCGTTTTCTTCACTAACAACACAAATGTCAGAGCAATACTGTGTTCTGTCACCCTGTACCCAGTTCATCCTTTCTTTGCCGATGTCCTTCAGATCTTTTGGGGCACTTAGGAGTCTCTTTGTAGTCCAAGCTGGCCTCATCACCCTGTGTTGTTGACCTTAAGTTCCTGATCCTCCTGCCTCCCTGTCCTGAGTCCTGGGATTACAGGCTGCCACATTCGTCCAGTTTATGTGGTGCTGGGGCTGGGACTCGGGCTCTGTGGATACTAGGCAAGCTACTCTGAGCCACATCCCCTGCTGTGTAGCCCAGTCTGGCCTTGAACTTCTGAGCTCCCAAGTGCTGGGATGGCATCTGCAGGCCTAGCATCATTGGGGCTTATTTCGAATGGAAACAAGCCTGAAGATGCCTTGGGGAGGTTAGAAATCTGAGTCCCAGTTTGGGGTGAGCCTGGCAGGTCCCCCTCAGGCACATGGTGTTGACACTGGCTTTGTTCCCTTGGCAGGTGGCCAAAGTGGAGTATGTCAGGAAGAAGCCAAAATTGAAAGAGGTCCAGGTGAGGTTAGAGGAACACCTGGAGTGTACATGTGCGACCTCCAACCTGAACCCAGACCATCGGGAGGAGGAGACAGGTGAGTAGTGGGCTCTGCTCGTTTGTTGTGTGTGGGTCCCGAGGGACGTGGGCTCTAGCCAAGTCAATCAATCACAGAGTGTTGGGGAAGCTGCTTCCTCTGAGTGAGGCAGTAGGCCCAGATTTCCCAGCCGTCCGCACTGGCTTACAGAGCTAGAGTCAGGTAAGCTGTGCCTGTGGAGTGCCACATCTAGATGGGATGGTAGACACTGGACTCAGACTGTGCCCTGCTGCCCGGGGTCTTGACCTTCTTCCTGCCCAGCCTACCTGTACATTGCCAGTGTTCAGGCAGTCCAGGTGCAGAGAAAGACCCGGAAGTGTATGCTCCAGGGTGGATCAGGCTTTCTTTTTGAAAGATAAACAACTCTAGTATTTATTGCCATGGCTTCCCACCCCAGGCCCTCAGGAGGCCACTCACCTTCCCTGCCCTTTCCTTGACAGGAAGGCGTAGGGAATCAGGTAAAAAGCGGAAAAGAAAAAGGTTAAAACCCACCTAAGGCGGCCAACCAGGTAGGCCCTGCCCGCTGGGTGTGCTGGGGACTCCCTCGCAGGGCTGGGATACAATCACATCAGCGAATCAGCTTCCATGGGCCCTGATTGGCTCAAGGCTCTGTGCTTCTGGGGCTGCTGGGCCGGGTCTCCTCGCAGCTACAGCTTTGCCCTTCTCTTGGTCATTGGTCAGGCACTCAGGTGCCCCGCAGCGGGCAGGGTAGGGGGCTCTGGTGGTTTTGCTGGAGTTCCCTGGGGAGAGGCAGCCCACTGCACTGACAGGAGAAAGGACTGAGGCTTTTAAAGGTGACGGGTGAGACTTGTGGAGGCTGTGTGGATCTGAAGAGCTTTAAGTGGATGGGGCGGTTGACTTTTGAAACCAGTGGCAGCCTGGGAAAAGGAGGTAGACATCAATCTGTGTAAGACCAGGAGGGGAAGCCACAGCAGGTGTCCTTGGTGGCCCTTTCTATTTGGTACTTTAGATTCTGTCTTCAAAATGACTCTTGGGCCCCATGGTGGTAGCTAGCGCTCTCATATTCCAAGCTGGAAGACTCAGGTTGGATAAAGAAGGGCCGTAGAGCCTCTTAGGAATGCTCATTCCAAACCCACCCTGTGACGGCTGTTTTTCCCCGGAAGTGTAGGGAATGTAGGTGAGGCATGTCATTTCCCAGGCCTGTCCTGAGTGTCAGCTTGTCTGGCCCAGAGGACTGGAGCCTGTCTGGCTGAGCCCTTCCTCCTGGCACACGGGACTTAGGGGCATCCAAGACAAACAGTTATTCTGGGCAAGAGAGTCCTCAGAGATAGGGTGTCTGAGAGCCCTGGCTCCCACAGGAGTGTGGCTGGAAATGCCTGCTTTGGGCATGTGTCTCCTCGAGCAGGTCCCTGGGGTGTTCCATGTGGCTCTGATGGGCCTGCTGCTGACAGAGACCCTCTCCAAATGAGGAACAGCTGTTCCCATGACTGCCTGTGTCCTGCTGGCAACCTGGAGTGGAGGCATTGTTGGCTCGTTATAGAACTGGGGGGTATAGCTTTGTGATAGCAAGTGTTTGTTCACCAATGCCACCAGACAGACAGACAGACACACACACACACACACACACACACACACAGAGTGTAACTGGTGGCATCTATTCTCTCAGTTGAGTTGCTTCATGGCCCCAAAATGTCTGCCAAATCTCTAGTAGCACAAGCCTTACGCTGGAAGAAAGAAAGATAAGAGAAAGGGCAAAAGAAACTTTATGCCTCAGCTTCTCCATCTGTGCAATGGGAGCATGGGTTCTTCTGTGAAATGCAACCAGCCTAGTCCCAATTCTCAACCATGAAAATTTGATTATTTTTTAAAATTGCACATCAAAGTTCATATCTTAAGACATAAGTTGTGTGGGGCCAAGTGGCCCCAGTGTTTTCTCTCTGGTCATAACCTCAACTCATCTCTCTTCCCACAGATGTGAGGTGAGATGAGCCGGCTGCCCTCTCCCGGGACACGGATGTACGTGGCGTGTGACATTCCTGAACATACTATGTATGGTGCTTCATTGCCAATGTGCGTGCGGTCTTTGTTCTCCTCCGTGAAAAACTGTGTCTGAGGACAAAGAGACAGTGTCCGTTTGTTCAGTGTGACATCAAAGCAAGTACTGTAGCACTCGGAGAGACAGTGAGAAAGCTTCCTTGTCACAGAGCGAAAACAAAACCACAAAAAATAACAAAAAAAAAATCTTAAAAAAATTAAAAAAAACAAAACAAAAAAAAACCCAACAACAACAAAAACCCCACCACAAGAAACAAAGAGACTGACGTGGGTGGCAGGAGGGCCGTCCTGCAGGACTGACCCTGGTGGTGGCCAGTATTGGCCACTGCCCTGGACTCTGCCCGTGGGCACAGGTGCTTTTCGCTGAGGACACCCGGAGCCTGCCTGGGATGCTGCCCGCTGGTTCTAGGCAAGGAAGCTGAACAGCTGGGAGATGCCCACGGGCCTGGAAGCCACCACCTCGCTTGAGTCTGCCTAGGACCTTCCAGACGGCCTTACGTGAAATTTCTTTTTCCTTTTTTTTTTTTTACACCATAAAGTGATTAAGCTTTTTCTTTTTATTCTCTGCCAAGCTTTTTTCTTTCTTTTTTTTTTTTAAATCTCTTGGATGACATTTTCGTCGATAACATGCACGAGGCTGCTGTAAGTTGGGACAGCGAGACGGTTATTTTTTTCCTAGCCAAACTAATGAGGTGTATTAAAATAAACATGGTATACCTACCTATACATCATTTCTGATGCGCCTCTGGCTTCCTGTGTTCCTCGGTCCCTTTAGAGTTAACTCCTAGCTTGAGTCATATGAGAGGACTATGTGGGAGTCATTCAGTTGTGGATTATCCCCCCACATCCCCAACCCTGAGTGGCTACCCCCATTGCTAAATGGCTTCCATGGCAGTGCCGAGATGGCACTGAGATTTATTTTGGGATAAGCTGTTGGGCTTCACTGTTAAACAGAATTGTGTGTGCGTGGTTTCCTTGTTTTGTTTTGTTTTTGTAAAGGTGAACTTTGTATTTTTTAATATTATCGGTTTATATACCTGAGAGCCTGCTATATATATATATTTTTTATTTTGAACTAAAAGAAGAAAAAAAATCAACAAACTTCATGCACATCAGGCATTCTGTGGTCCTGTTTTTCTAATTGCTTCCTGGAGTCGTACCATCCCCCACTCTCACCTTGGTTGATTTGGGGGTGTGAAAACTTGGGGATCTGAGAAGTGACAGGGTGACAGGCTATCTGTCCTGGCTCCTGACTGAAATGGGAACAGACCAGAGGGGACTGTCCTGCCTGCAAGCTTGAGGACAACACCCTCTACAGAGCCAGATGCCAGTCAACCATGTGCCAAAGTGGGTATCAGTGGATGGGTCAACGTGGGCAGCCTGTGGCCTTGTGACTCAGTGGCCATCAGAGGTCCCTGTTGCCCATGGGCTGTTGTGCATTCTCATAAGAAGTGTCTAGGAGTTTAACAGGTCACACTTACTTTAGTCGGACAGTATCCAGGTGACAACATGGCTCAGAGACTAGCCACACACCCAGACCTCTCACACTCCAGGCTGCTCTGTGCAAAACCACTTGGTTCAGTGTTTCATGTCCCTTAAATTAGGGGAGCCAGAGGCTGGTGCTCACGGGAAAGTCCCCAGGTTGGCAGGCCTGGGAGCCCCAAGGACTGGCCTGTGGGCCTTTTAATGTTAACTACTCAGTCCTATAGACAGTATCCCTGTATCCCACGCCCCCATCACTCCCAAAAGTGAGCTGCGCTGCCGTGGTGGGTGATGGTCTGCTGGGTGCTCTACAGACTTTGCTGCATGTTGGCCCTATTGGAGCTTTTTTGCTGTTGCTCACCTCTCCCCAAGCGCCACCTGTGTGTGGGCTGAGCACCAAAGCTCTTCTAGTAGTCCCTTGGCTTTCAGTTTTCCGGCTGTTAATTTGTTTCATCTGGTTGCCATGATAGTTCTCGTGACCTTGATAATTGGCTTTGATGGTTCTTCCTGTGACCTTGGGATGTCCTTCTGTGATCTTAGCATTCTTGCTGTTAACTCAGTGGCTAAGCTTTCCTCTGTTAACTTGATGTTTCCCCATTGTCCTTGAGGTATCTTGTGACCTTGAGGATTACTTCAGAACTGTGACCTTGAATGGTCTGTCCTGTAACCTTGAGCTTTGTGTCATGACTCTTGGATTCCTTCCTGTGTGCCTATGACGTTGGTGTTTCTTTTTGTGACTTTGAATCTTCCTCTTATGAACCTGTGACCTTGAATATACTTTTTGACCTTGAACCTTCCTCCTGACACCCAGCCTTCAGGGTTCTTCCCCTGACCTTGAAGTTTCCTCTTGTGTTCTTGAGGTTTCTTTCAGCTCTGTGACCTTCAACATTCCTTCTGAGGTCCATGACCTTGGAATGTCTATGACCTTTCTCCCTGTGCTGTGTGGTCTTCTATTTCTTCTTGAGTTGTGACCTTGATGGTTTCTACCGTGACCTTGAGGTTTTCTACGAACTTATGACCTTGAATTTTGGGTCATGACCTTCAGGCTTCCTCCAGTGAGTCCTGTGGCCTCTCTCTGCCCTCTCTGTGCATCTGTAAGACAGAGCTTTGGCTGGGCTTGATGTCTTCTGTTGTCTTTGGAGGTGTGTCACACCTGTCCCCATCTGGCACAGAGCACTTCCATGGAGACGGGTTCCTACACTTGCCTGGAGGCCCCACATTTCCTTATTCCTGAAGCTGGGTTTGTGAGACCTGTCTTCCCTTGCTGGAGTCCTCTGTCTTGGCCTCGTGCCCCCCTGGTCTATGGGTGGGCTGTGCTGTGCTGACACACCAGACCCAGCTCTTGCAGCTGGACCACTTGATGGCTTCTCTACAGCAGTCCCATAGGCAAGAGCTGGTATGGGCTCCGAGAGTGCCCAGCTACCCCTCGTCCTTACCTTCAGTTTCCCTGGGAATTCTGGGGATGGAAAATTGGCCCTGGTTGAGTCACTGTTTTAAGGATGGGGTTACTCCCTCAACCCTCTAGGAGAGTTCTGTATGGACAGCATGGGGACACAATTCTAGGGGCAGCAGAGGGGACTGGGTTGAGTCTGGCTTGTCAGAAGCCTTTGCCTCCCTTGCCCCAGGAAAGCAAAGATGTAGCACACCCCATGTCAAGCTGTGATTCTGGCTGGACCTAGTCTCAAGGGCCCTTTACTGAAGCTACATGGTCCAAAAAGACTCATAGCTGAATCCTCCCAGGAGCCATAGTCCCCAAGCGAGCACAATGCACAGCATCAGAAAGGAAGCATGGCCTGAGATCCAGCCTGGAGGTCAACAGAACCCTGTGGGTACTACTTGTATACCTTCGTCAGTGAGAGGCAGAGTTAGGCAGTGGCCTTGCGGTTACCTCAAGGGTTGCTTTCTTTACTGAGGAAGCCTGGTGTCCCTTAGCCAGGGGAATGGCTTTTCCACTTCCCTGAAACACCCATTCTCCAGGTCCCAGTGAGGCCAGGTCAGATGGTGAAAGGATACTAACCCCTGGAGAATGAGGTAACGAGGGGCTCAGGGGTTCATGATGCTGGAGGTGCCTTTTGAGCATGGTCACTTTGGATGCATGATGCCCAAGTCCTGGGCTCTAGGCTGCCGCCAACTTGTAGCTGTGTGCAGTCTCAGCTACAGGTGTGCCTTAAGTTAGGTTTCTATTGCTGTGACACAATAACCTTGTCCAAAAGTGACCTGGGGAGGAAAGGATTTCTTTCAGTTTCTAGTTGTAGTCAGTTCAGCATCCAGAGAAATCAGGGGAGTATCTGATGCAGAGGCCATGGAGGAATGCTGTTTACATGTCCAGGGATAATATCACCCCCATGGGATGGCCTTTCCCACAGCAGTCATCAATAAGGAAATGCACCATAGGCCAATCTGGTGGGGATATTTTCTAAATCGAGAATCCCTCTTCTAAAACGACTCTAGCCAAAAGTAGCTAACACAAGGCAAGATGGTCTATAATGGTGCTTCAGGAGCTCAGAGTGGTCTGAGAAGCGGAGTCCCAGATGCTGGATGTTTTATTATAATGCAGCCAGAAACTTCCCTCCCATGGGATGGTCCCTCCCCCAACTTCCAGAGAGCTGTAAGAAGTGGTCTCCTTAGTAGGTTTCAGAACCCAAGCTGTATGTCTAATTAGCAGCCATGTTGTGATATTTTGTTTTTGGCTCCGATAATGAAGTTTAAAATAGTTTCATTCTTTTAAAAGAGTGTTGACTTCAATAAAAATCTAGGTAGCACGGGATGTAGGCAAGCTTCAGGAGGTTGTGGGCGTGGCCAGCCTCTTGTGCCTGCTGAGTGCGTGGCTCTTCTTACAGCAAGCCAGTGAACAGAAGGTGGTCCCTTCAAATACCAGTGTACTAGCTGTGGGGCCGAAACATGGGACCCAGTTGCATGAGGAGTTAAGTCCCCATTAGGAGCATCCTTTGACTATTTAGAACTGGTTTCCGGACCACTGTAATCATAAATGATGGTGGCTTCAGAATGGCTGCCAGGGCCTCATGAGCCTGTGGGAAGTTCCTTGAGAGGAAACTCTCAAGGATGGCTACACCTGGGTGTACTGTTAGACCCTCCCCTGGCTGGCTCAAAACCCACATGGACCCATTCCAGGCTGCTGTGCCTGGCACTATGGCCACTCTGGGTTCAGGGTCGCTGTCTGGTCTGTAGATTCCTGGAGGCTATGTAGACATGCTGGGAGTGCTATCAGGTAGACTAAGAACTACTACAGTGTCCACTTCTGTCCTGGGCAGGGGCTGCCTCCATATTCCCCACCCCCAGCCTCCCTCTAGCCTCTTGGTACCCCACAGCCCTTTGCCTCTCAGTCAGACAGACATCCCCATGCAGTCTCATCCCAACTGCTTTCATGCTTTTCTCCATGAACACACGTGATGCTTTGAACATGGGTTACACCTAAGGATAGTAAACTTCCTGGGGGATGGGGGTGATATGTCTCTACACGGGGGTGCCTGCCTGCCTGCTCCCTCAATCTTTGCCAGTTGTCATAAAAAGCAAAGGAGAAAGTAGGTCACCTGCAAGCCACAACTTCCTGCCTATCTATCTAGAGACCTGGTTTCTGCTTTCTGCTAGCCCAGAGGCAGCTGGACATACCACCCCAGAGCTGATGTCTGCTTCTCACCTACGGAATCCCAGGACCCCCATGGACATCCCAGCTGCAGCACAGAACAGCTCTAAGGGTGCTGGGAAAGATCTGGGAGGGGGGTCACGAGGGTCCCTGTGCAAAGATGGGAGGCTCCTTCCTGAGCTCCTGGTGTGCATGGGCATGGGAGCCCCCGAAGCAGAGGATGAAGGATGGGTAAGTGGCTCTCACTGATAAGATCCCAGTAAGGAGAAAGAGGGTCAGCCTGGGGAAACTGAGTCAGCTTCTGAGGAGCTCAGACTGTCCACCCAAGGGCAAAAGGTGTATTTATATACTGTTTGGTATGCAGGCTTTGGTGAATTCAACCTTGTGGTGTCTCCAAATTGCCGGTCCCAGGCAAGGCCGCAAAAGCAGGAAGCTGGGGAAACCCAGTGGTATCTCTGTGGCCTCCGGGCTGTGGCAGGGTGAGTGGGGAAAGTACCCTGGGGCCCAGAAGCCGTCCAAATGATCAACATCTCCTTGAGTGTTTGTACACAGTGCTAGGCCCTGCACGAACCTTCATGTCACACTGCTAACATGGCTACCCCATACTTAAGGACTCTAGCCCACCTGTCAACCCTCCACAGAGCA